CCAATTGACACAACTCAAAGCAAAGACATTTATTGAAAAGAAATTATCAAAAAGGAAAAAATAAATCATCATAATAGTAACTACAAAACATTCCCTCATAAGCCTGAGGAGCATTCTCCTGCTAAGACACACACACAGAATACACCAGAAAGGATGTCCTGACATGAATGATTCTTTAGAGAAGAGAAACCTGGGGTTTATGAACTTTTTGGTTTGATATATGGATATATGGATAATGGATATATGGAAATATGGATAATTTTATAATTATATTATATTATGTTATATTATATTATATTATAATATAATGATATTATAATCCTTTACAATACTAAGTATTTTATTTTATTTCATGTGTGGAAAAACATTCTTTGGAGAAGGGGTCCATAGGGTTCACTAGATGGTCCCATGACACAAAAAAAGATTAAGAACCTCTGCCCTAGAGAGTGTCTTGTCTTTTCAAAGGAGCAACAGAGGTGTGGTTGAGCTTTGGTCAGTCAGTGGCTGGCTGCCCTAATTCCAGCAAGTTCACTGGAAAATTTCACATCTCCTAGAAGGGGGTAATAAAATGTATACACTTTTTGCATTTCATTTAAGACATAAATACTTGGTTGTCCTTTTACCTGCCTCTTATATATTTAAAATTTCATCAGCGAAGAGGAGAAGGAAACCAATCGTTCAAAAGTCTTTTGATTAATTCTTCCTCCCTCCCCACAACCACATGTATAAAATAGAGAAATGTTCAACTGGTTTTTATATGAGAGTGAATTCCACATTCTGCATCATTTGACTTCTCAAGTAGTTGACACTGGCCCTGATACTTTGAAAAGTCTTAGGGAACTGACTAGTAGTACAAAAGTTTATATTTGCATACAAATGACAAAGCCACCCCCAGGAAAGCAAGTGAGATGCAGTAAAGAACTGCACTCCTCACTCCTTAAATATTTGTTGAATGAATTACTGAAATGATTATTGTAGTCAGAGAAGGAAAAGGAAGCTAGGTTTTCATGTATATGACTCTTCTGTTAAGCCATAAGACTATTCATTTAAACTCATTATAAGGATGACTTGTCTGAATAATAAGATAGTTTTAAAAAGAAATGATTTTATCACTTTCAAGAGCAGAAAGTAAAACCTACAAAATTAAGTTTGCCTACTGCAGACCATTAGGGGCTCAGTTTTAATGAATAGAGAAGCATAATTTGTAATTGGCACTTCAATTATCATTATATAAACAGAGCTTCTGAAGTCCATGAAAGTAGTATGTTCTTTAAAGTATTTAAAATATTTCTCCTTCACTTAATAGTAGTCACATTATTAGTTTGAACTGCTGATGAAGAAAGTTTGCTATTTTTAAACAAAAATACATTTCAGTCAGGCCCCTGCCCAAATTAGTGTAGTTAGAACAAGTGAGGTTTTATTATATAATCTGTAAAATTATACTTTCTTTCATCCTACTCAAGATTATGATTATGTGTGTGTGTGTTTGTGTGTGTGTGTGTGTGTGTGTGTGTCTGTGTGTGTCTGTGTGTATGTTTTTTAGGTGGATGCTTGTAAAGAAGCTCAGGAACTGAAGAGTAAACTAATTGCCAGAATAGAGGTAAGATTTTACATACAAACATTTATAGATCTGGAGATGGAAGGGACTAGTCCAACCTCTCCCCTCCTCATTTTACAGAAGAGGAAACTGAGGCCCAGGGAAAGTTAATTTAACTTGCCAAAGGTCACCCAAATAATAAGTGAAAGAGGTAATATTTGAACCCAGGTCCTTTAACTCTTTAACTTTAATGCTCTTTCCAATGGACCACATTGCCTCAGTTTCATTAAAACAGAATAAAACAGGGTGTGCAAGGGGGCAGAGCAAAGATAGAAAAATAAAAGCAGTGATTTGCTTGAGCTCTCCCCCAAACATCTCCAAGTACCTGTAAAAAATGGTTCTAAACAAATTCTAGAGCAGCAGAACCCACAAAAAGACAGAGTGAAACAAATTTCCAGCCCAAGACGACCTGGATGGTTAATGGCAAAGGTCTGTTGTGCTGGACTGGGAGAGGAGCATGGTTCAGCACGGGCTGCCAGGCAAAGACCAGGCCTTAGCAAACCTGGAGCATTCCTCAGGGGACTGAATCACTGGCAGCTGTGGTGGGTTCCAGATTTCTTATCCCACAAATGCCAAAGACAAATTAGAAGGTCAGTAGGAAGGGTCTGTCAGACTTCAGTAGGAGAGGAGCTCAATCCAGCCCCAGTCCTGGTGCAGCCCTGGGGCAGTGGCTGCTTCCAGAGCTCTTGGACCACAGATGGAGGGTGCATAAAGCAGCTGATCAGAGGGGGATTGCAGGGATCTCTTTCCTGGTGCTGAGGCAGGATTCTCTTGCTTTGCCTGTGCTTGGATATGGGTTGCAGCTCTTTGTGGTGCTCCTAGAGGGAGGAGGAGTGTTGGCGTGGTGGAGCTCGTAGCGGCAGTGGAGAAGGAATCCTTCTCACAGTTCCAAGGCAGAAAAGAGTGCTTGTGGTCACTCACAGACCAGAGCACAGACCAGGAAAGGAGTAAACACCTTGCCTTTGATCATACTACCTTGGAAGAAGTGAAAATTTACAGGTCCCTAGAAATATCTCTGAAATTGGGGCAGCTCGGTGGTGAAGTAGATACAGCACTGGCCCTGAAGTCAGGAGGACCTGAGTTCAAATCCGGCCTCAGATCAAACACTTGACACTTACTACCTATATGACCCTGAGCAAGTCACTTAACCCCAATTGCCTTAAAAAGAGAGAGAGAGAGAGAGAGAGAAATATCTCTGAAAACAGCTGCACGAAACTCCTGAAGGTTGGGACAGTAGACCCTTCACACTGGAAGTAGATCCCTACCTTAACAAAGAGTTTAAAAGTCAAGTAATCGGCTGGGAACATGAACAACCAGCACAAAAAACTCAGACCATAGAATCTTAATTTGGTGACAAAGAAGATCAAAACATACAACCCGAAGAGGACAACAAAGTCAAAACTCCTACATCCAAAGCCTCCAAGAAAAATATGAATCAGTCCCAGGCCACAGAGGTGCTCAGAAAGGATTTTGAGAAGCAAATAAGAGAAGTAGAGGAAAAACTGGGAAGAGAAAAGAGAGTGATGCAAGAAAATCATGAAAAACAAGTCAACAACTTGCTAAAGGAGACCCAAAAAAATACTAAAGAAAATAACACTTTCAAAAATAGACTATCCCAAGTGGCAAAAGAGGTCCAAAAAGCCAATGAAGAGAAGAATGCCTTCAAAAGCAGAATTGACCAAATGGAAAAAGAAGTCCAAAAGCTCACTGAAGAAAATACTTCATTAAAAATTAGAATGGAGCAACCAGAAGCTAGTTACTTTATGAGAAATCAAGAAATTATAAAACAAAACCAAAAGAATGAAAAAATAGAAAACAATGTGAAATATGTCACTGGAAAAACAGCTGACCTAGAAAATAGATCCAGGAGAGAGAACTTAAAAATTATTGGACTATCTGAAAGCCATGATCAAAAAAAGAGCCTAGACATCATCTTTCAAGAAATGATCAACGAAAACTGTCCTACTATTCTAGAACCAGAGGGCAAAATAGAAATAGAAAAAATTCACCAATCACCTCCTGAAAGAGATCCCCAAAGGAATACTCCTAGGAATATTATAGCCAAATTCCAGAGTTCCCTGGTCAAAGAGAAAATATTGCAAGCAGCCAAAAAGAAACAATTCAAGTATTGTGGAAACACAATCTTGATAACACAAGATTTAACAGCTTCTACATTAAGGGACTGCAGAGTTTGGAATATGAAATTCTGGAGGTCAAAGGAGCTAGGATTAAAACCAAAAATCATCTACCCAGCAAAATCTCAATTTTATAATCCTTCAGGGAAAAAATGGATATTCAGTGAAATAGAGGACTTTCAAGCATTGTTGATGAAAAGACCAGAGCTGAATAGAAAATTTCACTTTCAAATCTTGTATTTTCTTGTATAGATTCTCTTGTATATTCAAGAGAAGTATGAACAGGTAAACAGGAAAGAGAAATCATAAGGGATTTATTAAAATTGAACTGTTTACATTCCTACATAGAAAGATGATATTTGTAACATGAAACCTTTCTCAGTATTAGGGTAGTTGGAAGGAAAAAAAATGTGTATATGTATGTACGTGTGTATATATATGTATATATTTATTTATGCATATATTTATGTATGCGTATATATGTGTATATATGTGTATATGTATGTGTGTATGTATGTGCATATATACACATATATATACACATATATATAGACAGAGGGCACAGAATGAGTTGAAGATGAAGGAATGATATCTAAAAAATTAAGAGGTGAGAGAGGATTATACTGGGAGAAGGAGAAAGAGAGAGGTAGAATGGGGTAAATTATCCCATATAAACCAGACAAGAAAAAGCTTTTACAGTGGAAGAGCAGTGTGGGAAGTGAGAAGGAATGAGTGAATTTTACTCTCATCAGATTTGGCTTAAGGAGGGAATAACATACACACTCAATTGGGTATGGAAATCTCTTACCCTACAGGAAAATGGGGGGAGGGATTACAGAGGGGGGATGATAGAAGGGAGGGCAGATTGGGAGAGGGGTTAATCAGCAGCAAACACTTTTGAGGAGGGACAGTGTCAAAGGAGAGAATAGAATAAATGGGGGGTGGGATAGGATGAAGGGAAATATAGTTAGTTTTTCACTACATGACTATTATGGAAGTGTTTTGCATGCCTACACATGTATAACCTGTATCAAGCTGTGGTTGTTATGAAGACAATGCTTTGTAAATCTTAAAGTGCTATAAAAAAGTCAGTTATTTATATAATTATTAGTATCATTAATGTTTAAAAGACTTTGGATTTTGAGACATGGCCCATGATTGCCTTGGGAATAAAAGTTTTACGTAACTCTCTCTTCAGTAAAACTGGCAGATGTTGAAAGATCTTGTATCAATCAGTGTTCCCAAGTTTTCTTTATTATTCTTTTTAGGACTTTTATGAAGACATGACTGTGATGAATAGAGAGCTGGAGAAATACCAGTTGAAACAACAAGAGGAGTCAGAGGCTGAAATGATCAAAATGAGAGATATTAAAGATTTGGAGTCACTGTCTCCTCAAACACTGTGTTTAGACACAAAAACTTCATCCTGCTCTACAAAATGGTAAGTATAGGGGCAGCTAGGTGGCACAGTGGATAGAACTGAGGCCTAAGAGTCAGGAGGACCTGAATTCAAATCCAACCTCAGACACTTGACAATTACTAGCTGTGTGACCCCGGGCAAGTCACTTATCCCCAGCTGCCTCACCAAAAAGCAAAACAAAAACAAAATGGTAAGGATGAATAAAGATGAAATCCTGCTGTCCAAAAAAAAAAGAAAAAGAAAAAAAAAGGCAGTTCAAACTTGGACACTACTTTGTCTATTTACTCTCACAATCTTAACTGGGTAGTCCATATGGACTGATGGCAAATAAGATGAATATTTCCTCCAATAACCTAAGACAGTGACAGTCTTGATGTGAGCATAACATTCAGAATATAAATTCCCTAAGGACAGAGCCTGGATAGTATCTAATCTTCCTATCTTCTGAGCCATGCACAAAAGAGACATTAGAAAAGTACTTGCTAAATTGGATTGAATTGGGATGTGAAGGCTATCTGGATGATGCTATCAGTTAAAGAAATTAGGGTGATTGTAAAACTTCCATCTGGAATGTAAAAACAAGATAAAATATTTTTTAAAAATATATTGGTTGAAAAATGGTTGAAAAAGAACATGGTGTATAAATCCAAGAAAGCTTTCCAAAATAGGATTTAGAGACAAAAAACAAAAAGAGAGACAAATAAGCATTTCTAGTTCAAGAGAATAATCTTGACTTTTTCAAGGGGAAAAAGTCATTCAAAATGAATAGAATTATTATTTTAAAACCATTCAGTGTAGTTATAGACGCTCTTGGGTGCTCACAAGTTGGAATTTTAGTCACATGGGCTATGTAAGTTTTTGTTTGACAGCTGAGACATTTTGGAAATGAAAACCAGTGTATAGGATACATACATACACACACACACACACACACACACATCTATATATATACACATGCATATGTGCCACTGCCACTGTACTTAATTGGTAAATGAAAAAGTCTTGAAATATAAATTTTACTTTATTTGACTTGTTTTGAAAGCTAAAATTTGCATCAAGGGAAATGCAAAAAGAAATCACGTCTTCGATTTAAAACCTGCTGTGTCCAAACATGTAAAAATGTAAATACAAAGAGTTAATGTTCTTTGGAAAATCAGAAAGGAAAAACTGCATCAACAATGACAAATGCTTTGCAGCACTGCATTCATTTCTTCATTTGCCCAAGGCAAACATATGAAGAATGAATCAAGATTTGAAATCACTTCAGGATGGGCACCTTCAGTCTCTTGCTACAGTTTGAATACCTCTCAAGCCCTGCTAGATTTAGTTTTATTAAATGAAGGAGTGAAAAAAATCTGATGGTATCCTTCATTGGTTTGCATTAAAATCTAGCATAACTGCCAAGAGACACATTATGGATAAGACGTGTGATTGTATTGGTATAGAGAGCTCCCAGTGAGCAACTTCTTTCTACCAAAGCACATCAGCATGAGTTCTGCAACTCACGGTCTTAGAATGTTTCCTGAGGCAATGAGAAATTTGATTTTTGCCTAGGATCACATAGCCAATATGTGTCAGAGGCAGGATTTGAACTCAGGTCTTCCTGACTCTGAGGTTGGCTCTTTCGGTACTACTACATGCTGCCTATGAAGAGACAAACCCTGGGAGAAAATGCCAAGAAATTTGATCTCTATTCATGAAACTCATTGAATTGATCACTAAAAAGATTAAATAATTTTAGTTGTTACCTATTTGACTTTTGGGAATACATTGTAGGTACCCAATACTCAATGCTCAACCTATGATCTAGACATTGAGTAGTCTCTTCCAATGATACAGTCATAACTTATCCACACTTGCCTATCCTGGGTGACTCTAGTCTATGTTCTCTCAGAAGTTTGTTGGGGAGCAGGTAGGGATGTAAGGGCAAGGCAGTCAATATGCTGAAGGCCTTCCTCACTTTCCCCCAACATTGCAAAGGTACCAGTGGAGCACTCTGGCTGTACACCAGTCATTCCTCATAACCGGTTCATGAAGTTATCCAAGTCATTGATGATGTTTTTTACTCCTATTCTTTTTTGGAGTTCCTTCTTGTTTATATGTCACATGCCACCACCCTAGACTCTCTGTGTAATATCCACCCTTAGTTCTTCAGAGGTAGTGTTGTTCTACATCTGGCTGCCACATAGCAACACTATGTTAATATTTTTAAAACGGACCTTTGCTTTGATGGGAAACTTGGGGTCATTAAAAGAACTTCTTAGTTTCCAGAAGGCATATATTCCACTTTTCTTCCTTTTTAACTTGTCCATATGTATTGTCTATCCCAAATACATATTCTATTTGACAAGATCACATTTGGAGATATTGGTGAAGAAATCCTTTATCCACTTGGGTCTTCCCTTTATGGATAAATAGGCCAAACTCCTTTGAGTGATTACAGCTCTCTTCTAGGAGATTTTACAACGTTCTGGGGCTTGGTGGTTTATATTAGTACAATGTCACCAGAACATAGGAGCATCTGAAGAATCTTACCATCCACAGGAAACCCCTTTTCACATAGATTCTATGTTGGATGACATCTATCACAGTGGCTAACATGTATCTCTCTATTTTATGTCTAGAAGAAGAAATCTCAAGACTCTCCCCTTAATACTTGCAAATATTCCCCTTAGTCTCTTGCAAAAGAAGGTCTGATTTAGGTGATTAGCTCTGATCTAAAACAACAGTGATAATTGGATTTCTTTATTCACTCACTCATTCATCCATATCCATTCATTTATTCAGCTATAGCAACGCTGGGGTGGTCTAGGAAGTGGGGTTGTTCAAACTCTCCTATTTGCTTTCCTCATTGATTGCCTAAATAGGTTTCCCAGTATAAACCTTGAAGTTTGATCCTATACTCTGTCATTTCCTTTACAAATTTATTACATGTACTGCAAAGAAAGACCATATTAAGGGTTTCAGAGAAAAGTCCTAACTTCATATCCAGATCATGTTTATACTTTGAAGTTACATTGCCTGTGATTATCTTCATGTTTCTAATGACATTTTCTTTTTTTGCAGGAAACATGTACTATGGATCTTTGTATTTTTTTCTGTCTTCACCATCTTTGGATTTTCATATTACATATTTGTTATTGATCCTACATTTATCTTTGAAACCATGCTCCCTAGGATTCTTGGGCGCCAAAGACTGCGGGAACTGAGAGAGCTCATTGTTCCCTTCTTGTATTTGGAAGTGGATGACTTGTTGCCGACTTAAAGATAAGACATTATACCATCAGCCTATTAACTTTTCTCACTAAAATTCTGACTGTTATTATATTATTGTTATTTGTTTTTAATAGGATACTGCTTTTGAAAATAGTAAGCACTGTATGGCTATAGAACAAAAATAAAGTATTCATGTTCTACTTTAACGATGGAAGATTTATTTATTCCACCCGCTGACTACCAGGCTCATTCCCCACATTGATGCATCTTCCTCAAACCATTGACCCTTTCCTCTCAAGTAGTTAATGATTAAGGATTATGGAAGAGAAGGACCTAAGTGACTTCCCTTTTGAGCAGTGATTTTCAAACTTTTTGGTCTCAGGACCCCTTTACATTCTTAAAAATTATTGAGGACCAAGAGCTTTTGTTTATGTGGATTTTATCTATCAATATTTGCTGTCTTAAAAATTGAGATGTCTTAGTATTCTTATGAAAATAGTTTTGACCTCTTCAGCCCTCTGAAACGGTCTCAGGGACTCTCTTCCAAAGATTTCCAGAACACACTTTGAAATGCTACCTGGAACATGCTGCCCAGCATTAGCAGCGTCCTTTACTATTCAATCTCTACCCAGTCACCGTTACCTTCAATTCTTCCTTCCCAAATCCACTGAAGGAGCTCCTCTTGGGGGATTACACTGGCACAGACACCTTCATATTGCTTTCTGTTTAGAATGTCGGAGCTGGTTTAGCTCACAAATTTCTCTATACTTCTTTTTTCTCCTGTCTTTGGTTAGCAAATATTTGCACTAGCTCATCTTTTCCCTTTGACTTAGTCAACTTCTGTCAAGGCAGAGAAACCTTTTCCTGAGCTATCCCTAATCTCATTCTTATCCAACTCAGCCCCTGTTCCCATGTTTGACTCTTCTCTTTAATTGGACCTCTGAAACATATATTCTGTTATTGACCTCTTCTTGTCTATGTCTCTTATCATGTTTCCAGGTGACCTATGATGCAGCATGTTATCTACCTCCTGACAGTGGTGATAAGCACAAGGTACAGAAAGGGACATGCATTTTTGAACATGGTCACTATGTGGACTTCTTTTGTTTAACTATGCTAATTTGTTACTAAGGTCTTTTTTCTTTCTTTCTTCCCTTAATTTCTTTCTCTCTCTCTCTCTCTCTCTCTCTCTCTCTCTCTCTCTCTCTTAGTTTTTAATTGAGTATGGGAAGGAGGTTGGGCCAAGAAGGTTAGCAATAGTAATGCCGAGAGAGCAAAAAGAAGAGGGCCATTGAAACATTTTTTTTAAATGCACAGAAGAAAATAGAAAGAAATTTAGAAGGAAGTACAAAAAAGCAGGACAGTTTTGAAAGTAATGTGTAGAATTTATTGTGCACCTTTACAAAAGCAAGCAGCTGAAATAGAGATTCATAGAATCCTCTTTGGTGTTCTCCTGTGTCATTCAAATTCTAGTTTTTTTTTTATGTTTCAGGTCAGAATGAGAAACAAAAAATAGTAATTTTAACAATCTAGGTTTCTTCCTCTCACATTCCTTCTATCTTCTGTCATTTCTCTTGAATTCACTTCATCCCTTTGTTCTCTCTGAAATAATGACCACTCTTCTCATCCAGCCCTACCGGGCCAAGAGTATATGTTAGCATACTCCTTGCTCCCCGTTGTTACTTCCAGATCCTCTCTCTGCCACTGTCAGTCAGCGTCCTCCACTTCTTTAAATTTTCCTTTATTCATCTACCGTAATTTGTTAACCATTCCCCAATTGATAGGCATCTCTGTTCTCCCTCCCACTACTCCTCCTCCCCCAGGGCTAAAAAAAAAAACACAAAATGCAAAACAAATTCTCATATTGGCCATGTCCAAAATTACGTCTCATTCTACATATTAGTCCATCACTTCTCTGTCATGAAGTTGGTAGCATTCTTCATTTTTGATACTTTAAAATCATTGTTGATCATTGCAAGTCTTTTAGAACGGTTCATTTTTTACAATATTGATGTCATAGTATAATTTTTTCTCTTGATTCTGCTAACTTCACTCTGCATCTGTTTGTATAAGTCTTCCCAGGTTTCTCTAAAACCATCTTCTTCATCATTTCTTACAACACAATCATATTTCATCACGTTCATATACTATAACTTATTCAGTCATTCCCCAATTGATGAGCATCCCCTCAGTTTCCATTTCTTTGCCACAACAAAAAGACTTGCTATAAATATTGCTGTACACATGGATTATTTTTCTCTTTCTTTGTTCTCTTTGGAGGTGTAGACCTAGTAGTGATATTACTGGGTCAAAGGGTACACACAGTCTAATAGTTTTGGAGGCATAGTTCCAAACTGATTTCCAAGATTGCTGAACCGGCACAGTTTCACCAACAGTGCATTAATGAACCGCTTTTCCCATAGCCCCTCTAGCATTTGTCATTTTTTTTTTTTGTGAATTTTATCAGTCTGATGGGTATGACGTGAAACTTTGGAGTATTTTTAATTTGCACTTTTCCACTTATTAGTGATTTAGAGCATTTTTTCATATGACTTCGGATAGCTTGGATTTCTTCCTCTGAAAATTGCCTATTCATATCCTTTGACTATTTATCAACTGGGGAGGACAGAGACATTTATTCTCTCCACATTTGGGATTTTAGTTGCATTAGGTCATTAGGATTCTACTCCAGAAAACCCAATTGGGATTCCAAAAACACAGAGATTAAGAGAGAGTAGGATTAGGATCCAAAGACAAAAGAAGAAATTGGAAAATGGACATGTTGAGGGAGAAGAAGGGATTTTGAACACCATGAAATCTGGGAGAGGGGGCGGGGAGGAAGTCAACAAAATAAATATATTTTTTCTAAATGGCTAGCTTAACCAACCATAATTTCCTAATATTAAATATAGATTTCCAATATCCAGATGTTCCATGAGTAAAACCTTATTATTATTTTTGCTTGTTCCATAGGTTCCTGGAACAATCCAGGGGGACGGTAGTAGTTTGAAATAATGCAAATTTTAAAAAAAACAAAAAAACAAAGCCATTAAAGGATCAAAGAAAGTAGATTTCTAGAGGGGCAATGAGTAATTTATTTTTTAGAAAGGGGGCAGTAGACCAAATAGATTTGGGAACCTCTGCCAGCTTCTAGACCTACCAGACTCTGTGAGCTTAAGGACTTCTTGGAAGCATTGCTGGTAACTGAGATTAAGCCTTTGTCAAGTTCTCGGATAATAGTTGTGATCTGATAATCACTACCAACACCTCCAAAATAAAAATCAAGTCAATTTAACCTCCAAACACATAGAAAAAAAATTCATGCTAGGCCACTTGTTCTTTTAATTTAATGGTAGGGACAGGAGGGGAGTTTTACAATTTTAATAAAAAAGATAATTTCAAGAGTTTTATTTTTTCATTAATGTGACAGGTCTAGATAGATTACTTTTTGCACTCAAGAAATGACAAGTGATTTTGACTAAACTGCTTTTAAATTAAGAAGAACAAAGAGCAGAAACGATTTTCTAGTAGCAAAGAGAAACCCTTTCCTCTTTGTTTTGGGAATAATATCCTAAGCTCTAACCACTCTCCCATGTGAAAGTTAGGCCAGTTTTTCCTTGAAAGGTATTTAAAGTGTCCTTGAGATTTGATTGGGACTAAAATTAGGGCTACTGATATAATTTCCTGATCAACCGGCTACAAAAATAACCAGGACACTAGCTAGGGGCCAGTGATCTAAGGTTTTATTTAGATCATAAAACAGCATTTTGAACAGGAGTAGAAAACTGTACTCAACTGAGTTCATATTTTATCCTGGATGAACGTTTATCTCTTCCCTGCTCTAAACATCTTTTCCCTAACATGGACAAGTAAACCCCTTTTATTCATTGTTCAATGCATTCCAAGTTTCTCATTTCATTACAGTTTTGGACTTAAACTACCGGGAGACAGACCAGACCTTGGGCCTGGAGTATTATACTCCTCCTTTGAAATGAGCGTAAAATGTTAGAATTTGGATAAGTATTTCTACATTGATGTTCAACTGAATTTGATAGATCAACTCATTAGAAGGTCTAAGGCCTCCAGCACTCTTTTGACACATCTCTGCACTAACATAAAAGAATGAACGACATCTATTTTTTTCTTCCCAAAGAGGATTTGGCTTGCACTAATGTTTTGTTTTACAGATGAACGATATGTTTAAACCACTTTTATCAACACTTGCAAATGGAAAAATGAAAATGCTAACATTGTATTATTGGCAGTTAGGTGATTTCTTTGGCAGGATTATTTAGTACTTTTCGCTGTACTCAAACCAGAACTAGTTAAAATGCAGTATTAAGACTAATGGTTCAGAAAAAATCCCTTTATGGTTTTGTAAAATGATAACAAGTTGATTTTGGTTTTGTGTTATCTTGAAGTCTGGTTGTGAGTAGAATTGTTATTCAAATTTCAAGGTTTAAAAAAAAATCTTGGGGGCAGCTAGGTGGCACAGTAGATAGAGCACCGGCTCTGAAATCAGGAGGACCTGAGTTCAAATCCGGCCTCAGACAAAACACTTGACACTTACTAGCTGTGTGACTCTGGGCAAGTCACTTAACCCCAATTGCCTCACCAAAAAAAAAAAAAAAGCCTAAAGGAAAAAAAAATCTTGGATCTGCAAGGTCTGGGCTTGAATCCTATATCTTGTATAATAATGTGTGCAAGTAACTTAATCTCCCTCAGCCTTTATTTTATTCATCGGTAAAATCAGGATAATAATACCTAGAGAGCTGATTTTAAATGTTGCAAGACTCAAAAGAAAAAACGGATGACAAAACTCTATTAACATAAATCTTATTATTATATGATAAGTGCCAGTCCCATGGAGCTTGCTAAGATGCTTTTCTTGGTTTCTAGTTGACCATGTGGGAGCTTTGGGGTCTACTTCCAGCCACGTATGATTGAGCACTAAAGGACATTTGCTTTGAGATGACAGTCCCCTCATTGGCTGCTAAGTAGCAATTGCTGATCATTCAGTGGTTATTTAAAAGGTAGTGTGCCAACTCCCACCCAAAGAGTTCTCT